TGTTTTCCCTGCAGCTCTTGCCCCCCCCCCCGCCCCCGTGGCCATTCTGTGCTTTCTGGTGCCTGCAAGTTTGAGTAAGACTCATGGAGGCTTTGCTGATCTCTAGAGCCAGGACCTGATGTCTGGTCTTCCCAGTAACTTTATTGCTGAACGCCTTCTCAGTCACTTTAAGCCACAAACGAGCTATCCTTGTTCTCTGGGCCCCTCTGTTATCACCCAAACTGAGATACATTCTCCCTGTCCTGAGCTTCTACCCCAGACCCTACATGAGGCTGGGTCTCAACACTTATATACATCTTAACACTTCTCTGTGTTTCACATTTCATGAGGTGAAAACTTTCAAAAATATTACCCTAAAGCTGGCCCTGGGGCTCACTCTGCTGCCAGCCAGGCCTAGGCCTGTAGAGCTCCCTACATTTCTCACTCCATGCCCAGCTGAGAAGAGGGGTAGTCAGTTGACAGTGACCCATGCCATTCTTTAGAAGTATGGAGTATTCATTTTGGAACCGAGTAATTTTGCTTTGTGACCCTATATGCAAAGCTTCTTCCCTGTCATACCCAAAGCTCCAGAGCAGTTCCCACAGATATGTGCTTTCAGGCTAATGAGCAGGATAAAGGTAGTTTAACATGAGGTGGATAGCAACAGACAGGGCTGGGAAGATAGAGGGATTTTTCATACTCTTTTCTTGAGGATTCACTCACAAGAATCCCCCATCTTTAAAGATCAACAAACACAACCATTACATGAAATGTGCTCAGCTCAAAGGCTTCAGTAATATCCCAATATCAAGGCCATCAATAGGCAGACTTATTCTTTTTCATTCTGTGCTTGCTTCACCCATATGACACTTGAGATCCATCTCCTCCCTCCAAATTTGGCCTCTGTTGCTGCAAGCTACCCTCGGTGATATCACTATGCATAAGAAGATGCTTCTGGGATTTCTTTCCGGTCAGAACCTATGCTCTAAGCCCTCCATTTCTACAGCTACATACCTATTCAACATATCCATGGGTGTGCTCTGAATCTCATTCATATACAATCAAGCCCTTGACTGACAGCTGTCCACCATGTCCCCAAACCAATATCTGCTATCTTGAGCTGTTTCCAGCTCCTCAGTTTCCCTCATCTCCTCCTTCAGTCCACTCAGGCTCTCCTTTTGCACCTCATAGAAGTGGAGTGTGAGCCTTGCCTAGGGGCCAGGCAGGCCCACAGAACTCACATAGGTCATGGACAAGAGAGTTTGGCAAAGGGATCAAAAGCACTGAGGCAGGTCCCATTGTCCTGAGTTTCTCTAAGTCTCTGTTTTTCAGGCTGCTCTATCTATAAATAGGACAGGAAGAGGTGCATGTGAAAGTCCAGTGTGGAAAAAGCTATCCTGCCACCTATTGGACAACCTTGAATCTTGGGAATAGTTACTAGAGCAGCTTCCAGAAAGGGTGCAGCTACCTCAGGTCGCACAGGATCCTCGATGCCCACGACAGCTATGCAGGTAAGGTCGCCAACCACCTCATTCTCATTGTCCCAGTTGGGCTCTTGGATTGCAGAGAAATCCCTGTACGCAATGCAGATGGTGCGGAGGCCATCACAAGCCATAGGCTCAATGATCTTCTTCACCATGTCATCCCGGTCCCGAGGACGGAATCCTCGGAGTTCACCATTGCTGTTTAAGATGTTGGTACACCTGACAGGGGAGGAGTGGTAGGGTGAGGTGGACACAGGGAGTGAACAAGAGGAAATAGTGACAGTCACATTGGATTATGATAGTAACTTAACCAATGGGATTATAAACAACAGAAGATACAGTTGTGCATGGACAGGAGACCATATGTAAGAAATTGGAGTGATGTGAGGTAATAAATTTATGTTGTTGTTCAGGTGTGTGTGTGTGTGTGTGTGTGTGTGTGTGTGTGTGTGTAAGCCAAAAATCATAACTAGGGTATTGTTTCCCTGTCACTGTCCACCCTGCTGTTCTTTGTTTTGTTTTAAAGACACGGTCTCTTACTGGCCTAGAGTTTGCCAAGAGAGCCCCAAGAATCAGCCTATCTCTGCTCTCCCTCCCCAGGTTTGGAATTACAAGTGAGCATTCCCTCATCCAGTTTTTACATGACTTCTGGGGATCAGACTGAGGTCCTTGTGTTTTTGAGGCAAGAACTTTACCAGTTCAGCTATCTCATCAGCCTAAGACTTCTGCTATCTTAAGTCATCAGGTTTGGGGCCATTTGTTACAGCAACCTGTGAATACTCACACACTGGTTGGCTAAGAGACCCAGGTGAGAGGTAGCAGCCTGAGGCTTATTGTAGCTTTCCTACAGACCCAATAGGACAAGGGTGGGTGTGGAATGTAGGTGAAACCTAAATGTAATGGACAGCCCTCTGGAACAATGGAACAGGAACAACACATGGCAGCATCTGCCTCAGTCCTAGCTCTGACAGTGTGGAAGCTTCACAAGGGACAGGCCTAGGAAAGCAAGCAACAGAAAAGTTGGGTTGAACTGAATGGGGCCTCATCTAGCAGGTCCCACAAGGAGACTGGTAAAGCTGACTCTTGAGGTTGGGGGTTGATTTTGTTTCCAAGGCCCTTGAGGGTAGATGGCAAGAGCCATGTAGATGAGGCAGAGGAGTTTAGGAAAAGAGAAAGGTCAAGACCAAGGGGGGAAGTCCAGAATGAGAAGGGATAGGGAGACCAGAGATGCTCAGGGGCAAGTCTTCGTGGTCCTTCCCTCCTTTGGGTTTTATACAGCTTAACTGAGATACAATTTACAAACCATATAATTCGCCCATTTCACATGTACAATTCAACAATTTTTAGTATATCTTCAGATACATACAACCATCACCACAGTCAGCTTTAGAATATTGTCATCACCTCTGAAAGAAACCCCACTTCAGATATTGTGGCACACACCTGTTGTCCCTGAACTTGAGAAGCTAAGGCAGGAGGACTGCAAATTCCAAGCTAGCTTGGGCTACAGACTGGAGAGTCTGTTTCAAAACAAACAAACAAACAAACAAACAAATGACCTGAGTTCAATTCTGGGGACCCACATGATAGAGGGAGAGAACAGTCTCCTACTGGTTGTCCCATGACTTCCACTTCTGTGTACATATGCGTGTGTGTGTGTGTGTGTGTGTGTGTGTGTGTGTGTGTGTGCGTGTGTGACATATACATGAATTCACAAAACAATAAATAAATAAAGTAGAAGCTAGAGAGATAGCTCAGCAGTTAAGAGCACTGGCTACTCTTCCAGAGGACAGAGGTTTGATTCCCAGCAACCACATAATTACCTGTAACTCAAGTTCTAGGGGAATCTAATGCCTCCCTCTGGTGGCCACTGCACGCATGTGGTACAGACCCATACAGACAAATAAAAAAACTCACACACATTAAAAATAATAGGGACTGGAATGATGGCTCAGTTGTTAAGAGTAGTAGCCATTCTTCCAGAGGACCCTGGATGGATTTCCAGCTCTCACATGGCAGCTCTTACCTGTTGTAACCCCAGTTCCAGGGCATCCAATGCCCCCCTTCTGGCTTCTATGGGAACAGGACACACATGGTACATAGACATACATGCAGGCAAACCATCCATACACATAAATCAACAATAATTTAAAAATAAATAAATGTAATAAAAATCAATGGTAACCAAGTAAACCAAAAGAAACCACATATAAACATCAACACCAAAAAAAGACAAATTGGATTTCATCATAATTTGAAAATATCTGTGCATCTACAGACACATTGAGGAGACTGAAAAGATAAAATTACAAGTTTGATGAGGATTTAGTAGTCAGTATATAGCAAGGATTTAAAAAAACATAACAAAAGACAGCCAAACTCTCTATTATGCTCTTCCAAATGTTTTCTAGCTCCTATCACAAGTCAATTCTAAGTTTCCTTCCCCAGGACCAGTCATGGTGGTAGCAATAATCCTAGTTCTTGATACCAGTTTTCTAAACATCCTTCAGTACAGTCAAAGTGACAACCAAAGTGAATTATCACACATGTACCAAGGAATACAACAATTGGGTCTCCTGCCAGTGCCATGTTTAACTTCTTGAGAAACTACAAAACAAAAAAGTATTTTCTAAAACCATTTGCGCGCGTGCACGTGTGTGTGTGTGTGTGTGTGTGTGTGTGTGTGTGTGTGTGTGTGTGTGTGTGTATGTGCGTG